AAGAAACAGGATTTATTTTTATTTTTTTTTAATTAGGATGATGCATCAGCATTGAAGTTTGAAGTAAGAGCAACAGCCTCACCAGAAAAAAATGCAAAAGTGATTGAACTACACGAGGACAAGCAAGTTGCATACGTAAGAAATCCTTTTAATGGATTTGTGATAAAATTGTAGAATTCTATACAAATCTATGCCCAGCCAATGAATATAGTCTTCATTGTATGCATTTAATGTAATTAAATGTAATTAATTTTCCTAGTTTGTTTTAGTATCTTTCAGGGAAAAAAAAAATCAGAACTGTTGTTATTTTCTGCTTTCTAGGTCTATTTGGAAGGAGTGCACCATCAAAAGCCCAAATACCATGTTACTGTACTAATAATTGGAACAGGCTTAATAGTTGGTGTTGCCTTGTTTTTGCTTCTTTCATTTATATTATGGAAGGTAGGTTTTCAGTGTTTCTCGGTTGCTCTCAAGTCAGGAATTCACCGTTGGTGGATCTTTGGAGCTGTTAATGCAGGTTAAATGATAAATGATATTTTATTGCTATCTGTTTTTTCTAAAGAAACATAATTCCTTCTGCAACTTGTGGGTTTTTTTCAAAATACTTTTCCATTATCCTTTATCTTATACATCTTATGTAGATGCATTCTGCATCTTCTGGTAGTCAACACCACACAAACCCCATCCTGTAATTTATATGGCATCTCATGTTTGCAGCTGATTTATATGATTTAATGATACCAAGTGGATCATTTCTGTGGGATGGTGCTCCACATTGAAAGCCACTTGACATGTGATGACTACTAGTCTACAACATTGTTTCATGCCAGAATAAAAAGTTGAAGATTTTAATCTGCAACATAAATGCTAAAAAGCAAGTAAGAAATTGTTAATTTCTCTACCTATCCGCAGACTTCCTCCATCCATCATTTTTCCCAGGGAAGTATAAAAGTGAAACAAATTTAACAGGAAAGTTTTATCACCATTTCACATTTAAAAAAAATACTGGATTCTGTGGACTGTTATAGGTCACAAGCCCACATGTCCATCCCTCCTTGCAGGAGAATATTAGCCTCCCAAAAAGTAAAAGAAAAAGCAAACCCACTTTTTGATTGAAGAGTATCACTTGAGTACTTGTTACAACAAAGCAAAGGCAAATACTATATATATGCATTTTATTTTAGTTCTTCTTTTATGGTTTAGGTTTGATAACTCAGATTTGCTGACAACAGTTTCCAAAATTTTGTATTTCAGATTGGCTTTTTCAAAAGGCAATACAAACAAGTCCCTCAAGACAAGAACAGAAGAGACAGCTGGAGTTTCACAAGCGGGAACAAAGATGGCTAAGATGGCAAATAAACGTTTGATTTTAAAATGAAGACTTTCAGATTCAAGTTAATTTGCAGGAGAAACATCAGAAACAAGAAATTGGTCTTGAGCTCACTCGCTCTTACCAAATGCATTTTGTTTCCTTGAACTCTATGGAGGACTATACCTTAGAGCACCCTTGTTTTCTAATATGAAAATGTTAAACCAATTTGTTTTGACGTCTTACAATAGTATTTGAAATGCCATATATCTATCTGGTTTCAAACAAACAAAAGAACACTAAAGATAAAGAGGAGAAGAATTACTTACCGGAAAGAAGAATTTCTAGAAGGTAATCACATTTTGCCGGTCCTGGAAACTAAGATCTCAGACGCATTAGCACAAGTTATTCTATTAATTTTCAAGTCTCAGTATTTTTTTAATTAGCCATTCAAAAAGAAATCCTCCTGTATCTTGCTTTGGCAGTTTTACAAGGGTAAATTAGCTTAAAACAACAGAAGGACTGCAAGTAGAGCACAAGAATGTAGGAAACAGCTATTGGAAGCTGTCTGAAGGGAACCTCATAAGCTTTTTGTCTTCACAGGCGCAGCCATAACACTGCAGAGACTTAGACACCCAGGCAAGGCAGAACCAGGAAAGCAAAGGCAGTCTAGAGCAGGGAATTCTGTGGGGTAGCCTGGAGATGCAGCACAGAATCCTCTCTCAGTGTTAGAAAGAGATTTGTATTGGAGATCATAATTTGTAGCCATCTTTCACATGGTACTTGCAAGCATGACAGAATTACTTGTTCCGTCCTCTCCTCAGGTATTGCTGCCATGATGTTTTGGACTTCTCCAATGAAATATTTCTATGTGGGTTTTTTTAAAGCAAGTATTTATTTCTATTTATTTGAAGATTTTTCTATAGTACTTAGCATAGTAGTATTTAGTATTGGTATTCTTCTGGGACCTGGGAGAAAAAAAAGTCACGCTCACATGATGACAGAAAAGAACCACATACCAAAAGTACTCCAAAGGCCAACCTTACTGGGCCAAATTTTATCTTTAGATGTGCCAACTGAAAGTCCTTAATAAGGAAGCCATTTGGAGAGCTACCTTGGGTTCCTGTGATGTTGTCAGATAAATACCTTCCAAACAGGCATCCTCAGGGGAGCCACTCAGCAGAAAGGCAAATGACTGAATTCAGTGACATGGTTCAAAGCACTGCTCTGCTACTACAGGAAGTTTCTTCAGGTAGATAAGTTTGCACTGCCACCTAGCTTTAGTGAAATAGTACAATCCAGGGGAAAAGAGAAAATGTTGTTTTGCTCCCCAGTACAGCTGCAGAACTTCTTCAATAACTGAATCTATTGCAGCAGCCGGATGCAATAGTGCCTTTCTTGGGATGCCTTTGATGTCTTTCTGAACTGCAAGGAAAATTGAATGTAGTATGTGCATACACTCTGAAGCTGCATCATCATACAGGACTTAGCCTGAGACTCAAAAGCAATACAGAGTTCCTTTAACAAGCACTTCTACTAATAGGGTGTTTGGTGCCATAAAAGCCACATCGTCCACATATTCTAAAGGTACTGGGGACCGTTTTGTAATTTCCTTTCACTTCATTTGATGCCAAAGATGTGGATCTCTAAATTTTTTCTCCAAAATCTTCCGCAGTGTAAGGACAAATGAATGTGCATATATTTTTTACAAAAAATCAAAATAAAATATGTGAAGAATTAAATGTTTTCTTGCAAGTCTATGAAAATACATGGAAAATGCTTATCTTCCTTATCTTTCCCCGGAAAATGCTTTGGTGAATTTTTGCACTTTATCTCTGAACAGAAATTAGCTTGATATTACAGCATATTGTGAAAACTATACCTCAAGTACTGGAAGAAGCATTAACATTCTTTTTAATGCAAACAAAGCAAAGAAGTGAAACTAAAGCATTTTATTTGTGTGAACTATTTCAAAGGTATGCCAGTACATGTGATAATGTTGCCTTGGAAATTATATACTTCCTATTCAGATTTACATGTTAATAATAAAATGTTGGCTGCCTGTTCTAAGGATAGGAAGCAAATTTCAGTTAGCTTTTATAAACCAGGTTGACAAAAAAAAAAATGAATGTACAATGTTCTAATAGTAGCAAGATTATAAAAAACCCCACTCAATTTCAGTTTATTATAAAGAACCCAAACAAGTCAACCACATGAATGCTGTTTCTTCTGCAATTTCAGTTATTTTACTGATTTTCAGTTATGTAATAACAGTTAAATTACTACATGTAGCTGGGATCTTTCTTGGGCAACTTTGTGAAGTTTAGTTTTAATTACCTTAATGCTAAAATTACTCAATGTATTAGCATTAATTATAGTATTTTAATTGGCAACTACTCACTGCGACTCAGACAACTGGTGTAAACTGAAATGAGGGGTTCCAACTGGACATGAGGGAAGACCACTTTCCTCCCAAGGACAGACAGGCATCAGAACAGGGGAGCAGAGTCGTTATCATCTCCATCCTTGGAGGTTTTATTGCCAGATGTGATGAAGCCCTGTAACCAGATGTGATCTCAATGCTGGACCTGCCAGGTCAAGCCCAAAAGGATGCCATGAGTCTTGATCCTACTCTGGAGCTGCTAACTTCCATGCAAAGAGGAGAACTAGGTATAAGAATCCTATAATTAATTACCTATGAAGTAAGGGTTTGATTGTCTAATGAATTTGCCTCTTACTATTGGCCAGGTTTGTCCACAGAAAGAACATGAGATTTCCAACAAGTAACAGCTTGCTCTTGGCAGGCACAAAACCATCTGCAGTACTTTAGGTGCATCACTTTGTCTTATGTTATCTATCAGAGGTAAGAATTTTTCACAAGCAGAATCTTAAAGGACTGGATTTCACATTATAGTTGGCTCCTGACTGAAAAAGAACTTAAAGCAACTCATTCTTGGCCCAAGACAGTGCAGCTTTCATACCATTGTCATCTGGCTTCTGAACAATTTGTAGACAAGTGAGCAGGGAAATGTTTGTTATCCCACTGGTCCAGCAGACAAACACTTATTCATATGCTACTTTCTGTCATATTACAGAAATCCAGCTCCCAGAAAGAGTATCATCTGAAGTTACTGGCATCTCAAATAATTGTATTAAGTATTTAATAAGTTACAAACCCCCATAAAAATTATTTATGCCATATACAGAAATTATAAACATTTAAGTCAACTCTTAAGTTATTTATCATAACTTTATTCTCAGCAGCAAAAAACCCCAACCCTATGCTGAATATCATTTTGGTTCTAGGGAAGAGAAAATACTTTTAAATATTTAGTTTGTACAATGAGTAGTCTTCAAAATATATTTCAACAAGTTAAAAGCTATGTAAGATACGAGCATATTCTTGTGTATTACTGTTTGACTAGAAACTATTTGAAAGCAAATACATTAAGGCAACGTTAAAAATTTTAACTAGAAATGGAAGTACTCAAAAATAGAAACAAATCTATATTTTGACACTGTTCTTCAGCAGGAACTGGTACCATACGTCCACTCCCCAGCTCTATTTGAATTGAGTTACCTGACAACATGGATAGCAGCAGCAGACTTAAAAGTATCTCACATGAAATTTATTACTAAATCTAAAATTATTTTAAAGGAAAAAAATATATACTGGGCACTTCTCAACCCTGAATTTTAAAATAGACCAATATAACCAGTTTTCATTTTTTTCTTGGTAAACAGTTTTGTTGTAGATAAAAACAACCTGTTAAAAATACATAACTTGATAAAAATTTAAAACCAGAAATATTACAAACATCCCAGTTAAGCTTCTGCTACAACAACTAAATTCAGTGAGTGACTGGGACCTTGTAAAGCTGTGTATAGAAGTGTGAAAAGGATGCTTTAATGCAAAACTTGAAGTCTGTCCCTTCTATATGCAATTGCATGTTGCTTGGGAACTTTCCAGGTCATCAGTGTTGACTCCGTAGAGATTAATAAGTTGAGGATGCAGCCTGTGAAGTGAGGAAGTCAAATATTATCAATTTTGTTAATTCTTGGGATGGGAATGCTGCTTTTGGGGGCTAAGGGTACAGAGAACAAATATGTATGGATCTGCTGCATAGAATAAAATCAAGTGAACTGCATTTTGACAGTTCTCATAAGGTCATCTTTAGAAGCACTTATTACATATTCTATAACATGATCTGCCTTTTATTTTGCATACCAGGCTGTTACTCTGAGCTCTGTGCCTCCAAATAATCCTATGGGCATTGCAGCAGAATGAGCCACCACCCATTTAATCCACTGATAATCCTCCTAGTTCCCTATGTATTCATAGTGTCTTTTAGATCCTAGATAGAGAGGAGACTATTCTCAAGCAGCACTAAGTTTTCCACAATTGAACAATGATACATTTTTATTAACCTTACACGCTGCTTTCCAAGCAGGAATCCTTATCCCAAAGATAGAGTCACAGACCTTTATATCCGTCTGTTCTTTTCTAAGAAACAGAAGGATAAAGTAAGTGGCAGAAAAGAAGTGGAGCTGGAAGCCAATAAAGCACCAGAAAGGAGAGGACAGGTGGCTTCTAATAAACCTTTCCAAAAACAGGCATGAAACAACAGGGCAGAGGCCAAAACAGTGGCAAAAGGGACACTGTGCAGCGCACAACAGAATTTACACCAACTAATTTTGGTGTTGTCCCTATTATATACAAATGTAAAACATCTATATACAAGATGGCAGTACTAATCTGTTACATATATACAGTCCATAAACATAATACTTAGCCTTACCGAACATGAATTTGTGATGCCTCGTTCATTAAGTCCCCATCTATATTCCAAGGGTAGTTTCCTTCTGCAGAAGCAGCATTCAAATACGTATTTTCTTTGGCGTCAAGCCCACTTTTAACCTGCGGTTTTACTTTTACTTCTTGAACTGTGTAGGTCTCAACAAAGGGAAAATTGAACTAAACCAAACACAGATACATATTAAATGAAGATGAAAGATACAGGTGGTATCTTAGCAACAAACTGGATTACTTGAAATTAGAAAGCTTGCCTTTTCTTCCTTTTGGACTTAAGTAAATGGAAATGCTTAACTCCAGCTTTGACCACATGAGGCATTATGTATTCCAGCTACCATTTATAGATTAATATGCTATTTTTATCCTAAATAATGCCTCAAAAAAAATGGTAGTGTTCCATTTGCATTCCTATATCAGACTTTCTCAATCTGTAGATGAGGTGGTACATTTTGCACATAGTAAAATAGCACACACCTTCAGAAGATAAGAAAAGCTGAAGTGGATCTTTTCCTGTGTTCTATTCTTCATTACCCATATTCCTGTCTCAAACAAGGCTAGTTAGAATTCTAGTAAATGGTCATCTTCAGTTTAAAGGGGGGGTCCACATCTCCTTAGCTCATTTCTAATTACAAAAGGCAGAGGAAAAAAAGGAAATTCTTCCTCCAAAGCATAACCAGAAAGCATAAACTGTTTCCTAAATGCAGCTATTAGTGCTGTCACACAAAATTGCCATCCACTTCTCCCCCAAACTCTGTGTCTTTTGGTGAATTCAAACATAAACCTTAGTTTTTTTTGTCTCTCAAGTGTATGGAAACACTTAACTCCAGCTTGTAAAAGGGAATAATCCTGAAACATCTGAACAAGTACCAGTGTGCTAAGACTGTACACCAGGTCTTAAGGACAGCAATAAGATACTGTGGATGCTTCCTTTTTCTCTTCATAGACAGGATAATGATCACAATATTGAAATGCAGTTTATGCCAACATTCATAACTGAATGGAATGCTTACTGCTAAAAATGGTCTTAATCCACTGCTACCAGCATAGCATGCAGCGATCTACTGAAATTATGACCTTTATCTGTTTCTGACAGAGTTGCATGATGCCTCCCCTACTCTGCATCCTTGATCTCTGTACTATACAAAACTTAAATACAGCATACATTTCCTTTATTCTGGTGAAAAGGCTTTACACCCATAAAACTATGGTACAACATAAATGCAATTTAAACCACAACAGATGGGCTGAAATAGGCTAATCGGTATTAGTCCAGTGATTTAAAAAGAAAAAAACCCAACAAAAACCCCACACAGATAAAAAGGGGGCTAATGTATTCTGACAGGAAGCTAAGTCTCCTTATGAGGATGCTTACATTAACTCTTGCAGCATGTCTATCGTCACGATTAACTGTTCTTTTTATAATCCCCAGAAAGAAATCTACAGTACCTGATTTTTTACGCTGGCGTATCTTTTGAGATGTTTTATAAACTCTGTTCGAGAAGCATTTTGCACAACAATAAGAGCCATGCTTCCATTATTCAACCTGAAAGGCAAACCAATTTATGTCCCAAAAGAAAACTCGTTAATTCAGAAGTTTAATAGGTTAATTAGTCTCAATGTTTTTCAAATCTTTTGCCACCCCCTCTAGATCAATATAAACTATGCAATTAACATTATATAGTATCCATATATTTATAACATACACTGTAATAGTAAAATTGCACTCTCTTATCAATACCCTTAATTTATTGACCCTGATACATATAATTTATCACCCCTTATTTTATCCTCAACAGGTAGTTTTAATCATTAGGGATCACAAATTTATCTTTTCACTTTTCTCTCAGCAAAGTAGAATGGTTACCATAAATGCTATGAGACAGAGCTTTACCATGAAGCCATTCCCATTATGCATGCAAGCCCATCCCCATCATACAGCCCACTGCATATGGGTTCGTTCACCTCCTCCATTAAGACTCATCCTTCCCTAACAAAGATCCTGATCTTCAACTGTGCCACTACTCAAACTCTGTTAGCAGTTCTCAGTACAGTTCTAATTACACGTTTCACAAAGCACATAAAAGTTATAACTAAGGGAATTTTGTGCAAGATATAACAGTCACATACTAAAGTTTAACCGAGACCCTACAGTGCAGACTCAACGGTCCTAGGCATCCAGTCACCGCTGATATTTTAGCACCTTTGAGAATCTGGATAAGACAGTGAGCTAGTAAGAATTCACAGATCCCTTAATGCAAGTGTACCTTATCTCAGAAGCTAACAACCTGAATCCCAATGCAATCATGCCTAAGTCCCATTTAATTCATAGAGACAAATCAGTGTTCAACAAGAGCATCTAATGAACATGACAATCACTGCTGAGATTGTGTTTGGTAAAGATATGTATTTCATATCTTCTGAATATGCATGCATACATATATATTTATTTATTCATTCAGAATGTATGCTTGGAAAACATGTTAGGAATATCTTAAAAGATAATGCTGCCAGCCTACCACCGCAGATCTCTCCCCATTGAACAACTGCATCAGCAATGTTCTCAGACTGACACAGCACAATCCAGGAAGATAGTTTGTACATAACTATGGAGTCAGTCACCTGGCACAGCATTACTTTGCTGATTTCAGACACAGCGATGGTGAAATTGAAAAGGTTGTCCCCTTATCATATTTGCTGCAATAGAAGGGCACAGGACGCCACTGGGCAATGCATTCGGCACTATGGCCTTTTATCTTCAGGAGGTGACTAAAAACTGTCGTTAATTCTTTTTCAAGTCCAACCTGCAGCAAAGCACAACACCTGTGCTGTAAGAAACAAACGTCCCACATGGCTTACATAGTGCAGACAGTTAAACATATCTTGACATGTTTCTGCAAATTTAGACTAGTGTTAACTAGAGTTACAGGCAGCAGTCGGAGCTTTCATTCCACTTCAAATGTCTTCACACAGCAAAAATTTTTCCTCTTGGAGAAAATAGCACAGAGTGGAGAAACCTGGCTGAGTTTAGCTGATGCTTTCATAATGGGTCTTGAGTCTCTTAACAATTTAGTGCAACATGCAAGATGCTATTCACTATGAAAAGTGAAGCACCAGTCTGAAGAGTCTATTCTTCCTAACCTACTGGCTGACTGCACTCCTAAGACTATTTTTTTAAAGAGAGGGGGAAAAAGAATCCACTGAGAGCAAAAAAGGGGAATCCACTGAGCAACTACACTGTGGGAGAAACAGGCTCAGTCAAACCTGCAATAACTGCATGGAGTTCTCATAAAATTCCCTGTCGCTGAGAAACAGGTGCCAGAACAGATGGAAAGAGAAAGTGAAGCTAAAAAAAAAGAATAGTTTCACAGAATCACAGAATTATTAGGGTTGGAAGGAACCTCTGGAGATCATATATCCAACCCCCCTGTCAAGGCAGGGCCACCTAGCGCAGGTGAAACTGTTGGGTTTGACAGTCTCTCATCAGTTTCTACTGACTGACAAGTATATAGTAAAAGAACCAGTTTCTACTAACTGGTATTTAATATACTAAATGCTGAACAAAGAAAGCTACTAGGAGGGGACAGCATCAGAGCACTGTCTTGAGGCTTAGCAGGATGCCTGTAGCAAAGAAAACTCCTCAATACGAGTTTCATCAAAACCACTTGTTTCTACGTTGCTTCTAGGATGTCAAATTTTACCAGATGAGCCAGTATTTGTGAAGAAAAATACCTGATCATTTTTAAGGCACGTCTATTTTCACCTGATGATGATCAAATGAAACAAGCCAGACTCATTTCAGCAACCTGGCCAAGTGTTGTGGGCTTCATTTTGGTTTTTTTTTTTTAATAGATACACACACGTATATGAAAATATATGCTTCTGCATTCTTTTTGAGGGAGCATCTAATATTTCATTTATAACTTCAAAGTTCATACTTGCTATTCTGTTTAATGGTCAGCTGGATACATCAAGTACAAATATTTATCACTTGGACACCTGTTTTGATCACCACAAAGTACACTCTCGACAATGGGCTAATGGCAAAATGAGTCAATGTCGACAACCAGATTACACAACTCATTTGTTTCCCCGAATCCTACACATAGAAACAGCATTTCCCACGTTCAGGAGAAATTAAAAAAACCAACATGACAAGTGTGAATTTCAGTTCTTCATACCAGGAGAAAGATTCCTATTTCATTTCTGCCGGCTCTAAAGCAGAAGATGAGGGGCACCTTTATATTTGGAAAAAATAAAGAATGAAGTTTCTACATATAGCCAAATCCTATGACAGATGATTGCTCCATGACTACCACTCAAGTCAGACTTGCCAACTAATTTAATCACAGCAATTATCCACTCGTTATTCTAGTTAGACTGCTTGACCTTATTTGCCTGATCCAAAAACTGATTACAATTCCTGGGATTATAGAGTCTGCTGCAGTTTATGCTCCCTCCCCCCATTCCAGAGGGGACATAGACTACCTAAATACAGTCCTGTATTCTCAGAAAAGCCAAGGTCTTAAGGTAAGATGTCAGAATTTATAGACGTGACTAATTCTCTAAACCCCTACTGACCTCGTATTAGGTGCCAAGCCTCTTGGTGCCATTGAACACAGACAAGGGATTGCCATAATGCTCACATTCAGGAAGTGACCCTGAATTTTGTGCCATTGATCCTTGCTACCTAAATATAACAGAGTAATTCTGTATTACTCCAGTTTAAGCAGCCACAGTTCACTTCTAAATAACTATAAAAGCAAATACTCACCCTTCTTTTTAATTTTCTCTCTCTTCTTTCTAAAAGAGTGAAAAAATGTAGGTAAAATAATTTAAAGTCTTTTTAGCACATTTAAACAACATCTACTTTAGAAAAGAGTGATATTAATGGAACTGAAAAAACTAGTAATACTGACTGGAAGACTTTGTAGTCTATAGGGAACATTTCACAAAGTGTATGAGCCTGCAGTTCATAAAAAGTTTTGGCTGATTTTTTAAGGTTATTTTACCTGATGATCGAATATGAACAAAACTAAGAATTTGTACAGTTTCATCTTCAAAGACATGTTTTTGTAGCTTTGGAATTGTTTGACTCTGTTTTACTTACTTGTCATTCTCATGAGAGTCTTCCTGCAGAACTTGTAGAGGTAGAAATGATAATTCACATTCCTCTGGCCTAGAAAAGTATTGATAGTTACTAACGTGACAACCAATATTCTGAGTGCTAGACAGATTTTTATCCAAGTTAAGATGATTTTAACGAGATGCTGAATATGCAGAATTTATCTCCTGTTTAATTTGTAAGAGGGTTATACATCACATCTGAGTTAAATCTGTCTGCAATTAAGACAGCTAAACTACTGCTGTCTGTATTTTTACCACATTAGTTATTATATTTTCTTCAAGAAAATGAGAAATGCTAGAAAAGTAACAGCTCATGGCATACTTGAGATCTGCCAGTGTTTTGATGAAAGCAAAATCCTTCCGTTGATTGGAGGGCATCCAACGGTGTTTCTCAGCCAAAGCCAAAGTCCTTGCACCAAAACCAAACATAGCTGAGAACCCAAACCGCAACAGCTTGGTTGGCGTACTGAAAGTACAGACATCTACTGGTTGAATGTGTCCTAAAATATTATAGGTAAGGATCAGCAGTGAGAAATTGCATTGGTACTTCAAACAAAATACAACTTATCATTTCCTTTTCACCTAATTTAGCCACATGAGAAAACTCCAGACTTTTCTCTCTTTAGGAATTCAAATTTTACTAATAGAAACCAGAATCAGTTTAGATACAGATAAAGCAGTCATTTCAGAGAGCAAAGTTCAAATACTTCAAAACGAATTTTCACTGAAACATTTAAACATCTACTTCACACTGCAAAGGGTCTGATGCTTAATTCTACTCAGAATTTCAACAATCAGTATCAAAGAAAATATAATATTTCTACATAAATATTTGCAATCATTTCACCAAAAATTTGTAATGGCTGTGGGAGATATGGGAATGCTTACATGTAATGTTTACATGTATTAATGTTTACAGTCATAGAATCTACACATCTAATTCTGTTCAAGGTAGAGTACATACATTTATTCTGTAATAGAACCTGGTTGGTTTCCATTAGATTGATTGTCTCTGATTAAAAAAGACAGGTTTACATTTAACTTAAAAGGCTTGTATATCCCCATCTAAGAGATAGAGCAAAGGCTCTTCCACTGCTGACTGCAATGTCTAGAAAATAAAATTACTCAAAATGGATGCTCCCCATTTCTCTCTTCTTTCATTTGGAATTCTTTTATTTGCTTTGAGAGGAATGTTAACGTTGTTCAATGAAGTATTTACTATTTCCTAAGACCTGAAAATAAGGTTTGCACAAGCAACTTCATTTTTTCTTTTAGCATAATTACATTTTCACATTCAGAAAGCTATTAATTGTGCAGACCAAATGGCCAGCGATGCAATTTTTTTCTAATACTAAAGTTTTCTTATGGAAACTTAGTATTTAAAAGAAATAGATACGGAGGTAAAAAGATGAATTATACTTTCTCAGAAATATGAGAATACTTTTCTGAAAAGCCCAGTCCTGACAACTTCCTTGAGAGAAGAACTGTATATTTTCCTATTGTCTTCAGCAAGTACATTAAAGTAAAATAATCAAGTGATTATGCAACATATCATTGCATAAAAGCACACACAGAGTAACACTATCAAGTCTGGAAAAGGTTACTTTTTGCATTAAAAGAACGTCATTAAGAGGGTATGAATGCCAAAATCAGACATTATTCCATGGCAGATTTTCGTTACCAGGAGATGAGGTCCACAATCCTTATTACTGAGCTATAGACAAAGAATCATAACAGTTCCAGTATGCTACAAATAAAGGTAGAATCATTTGTATTTAAAAATACAGTTTTCAGTGATACAGCATAATGCTATGTCTTTCTTAAACAACTCGTGGCATTCTAAATGCTACTTTATTATTGAAAATTTGATAATATATGTATAAATATTTACCCATTATAATATGCAATGTTGCAGTCACTGCATGCTTAATACCATGGAGAGTATGAGCCAAGATATTAGTAGTACCTGTAAAAGTGAAAACAAGCTATTGTAAAAATAAGAGACATTGTGTATATTTTTTCCTGTTACTTGGCATCTTTTGTGTTAAGAAACTAAGACATTTACTGTATTTTCAAAATAAGAAAGCCTTAGTCTTGCTAACAGCAGAAATGCTGAACTGTACAAATTAAAACCGTTAAAACTCACAGAGGCCTATAAAAATCATCTCTGCAAATTCATTCATAAATGTTATAAAGAGGGTTTGGTTTTTTTAACAGGCTCCCTAAAAAATCACTTCTTCTATACTTAAATGCTCTATTAAGGAACTGTACTAGAAGGCAGATTATCTAATAAGATATATTTGGGAAAGATTTTTAGGTTGTAAAAATAATGTAATACTCAGCCAATACATTTCCCAGACAAATTTCTACTGGATCTGAAGGTAGCTGCTGTGCCTCTTGGGAGGCTACATTTTAGTTTCTTAGAAACAATAGTGAAAGAATAACTGGGAAACATATGTCAGTATCTCACAGAGCACCTGTTACATTCTTAATGCATCTCAGTCTTCAAAAGTAATTCTGAATATTCGGAACCTCATGGGAAACCTTCATACCATCAGAGAGAATAGCTCTGAGTAAGGCTCTCAGGGTTCCTGCTATGTAAAGGAAACCAGTGAGGTACATCTATCAAGACTACAGATATAAAACGTTCCCTGAAGATTACATCTCCAGTGGTACATGGAAGAAATCAGGTTACGTACAGTTTTATTCTTTGAACAATTCAAAATGAAATGTAATTTTATTCACATATTTCTCAGAATTTTATAGGTGAATATATTTTAATTTCTTTCTCCTTTTCCTATAAAAGTGTTAAAATTCAGCAAATTGGGATTATGAAGCACTTTAAAAGAATAATAAACTGACAACTTCAAAAGCTAAAGCTAAAGCTAAAAGCTTTTTTCCTCCCAAAAGAAAGTCTCTCTAGATACACTTACAGGAAGTCCAGTTTATTAAGAATATCACAATCTCAATAATTTATACCCAACAACTCGACTAAAATCAATTTGAACTTTCATTTCTGCCCAATACCCATAAAAAAGACAAAATTGTAGCTCTATGTACCATTTACCATACAAAATAGTGAGGTTTTCAATTCAAGGAACATAAAATATAGTTCTATATGGAAAATCTGGGGACATAAAAATTAGGTTTGACCTAAATAGCAGTTCTTCAGAGAATAATACAAATACCTGCCCAACAGAATTTCATGTTTGAATTACTTATGAGATTTAACACTTAGATCTAACTAATTATGTTCACCCAGTGAAGATAGCTAAAGTAGTAGCTCAAAAGTACTCTTATATTTCCTTTGATCAGTTTTCTGCAACTCTTACCAACTCTTACAGGTAACCGCTCCCAAACAAAAGAAATCAGACACACAAGCCGCAGATCTTTACAGCTCATGAAAACTTTGTGTATTTCCTGTAAACTGACAACAGGAAAGTTGGTGTTCTGAAAAACAACGTGTATATATATATACATTTGTATATAAATATATAAAAAATCATATATATAGAATAGATATATAAATTTATATATGTATATCAATATATATAAAAATATATTTATTCTTTTTTCTTTGTCACTGAAGATCAAGCTAATAAAAGAGCACAAGGCTTTTCTGTACTTCTGAAGATCAGGCTGGTATGTATCAAAACTGCATTTCCACATTTAAGTAAGAGAAATTTATTGATACAGATGGCAGCAAGATAACAAATGACCACGGCTGAAGTCAATACCAAGCTTCATACTGACTTTAATGAGAGTTAAATCTCATTCCTACTAAACAGGATAGGCACAAGTAATTGCATCTTTCTCTTCAATCTGTGGAGCTCATTAACATTTGCAGAAGTAAACAAGGCAAAACCCCACCCCTTCATGACTCCTGGGAATATAAACAAAGTGCTGTCTGTGTTCAAAAGTGTATGTGCTACATCCACCTTTCCACAGGTTGAAGGTCTAGCCCGAGAACAAGCATAGTTTTGCAATAGCAAGTATTCTCTATGTAAAACTCTTAATGTAACAGCATTATGATCCCAGTAATGATTCAATATGTCTCATTGCCTAGCTCTTATGCAAGCAGGATGCCATCAAAACAACAAACAAAACCCTAAACCACTAACACCCCTCCCCAAAACACCCCACCAAACAACAAAACAAACCAACAGCCACCAAGCTTATAAACAGAGTGAAAACAATGGAAGTTATCATACAAAAAACAACTCTAATACAAGCTTTGCTGATTTAAGTGGTGATTCCAAAATAATGGTTTTAATGACATTATTAATCTTCCCAAGTAATCTTTTTCTCCCCTATGTAAGCTCTGAATATTATTTGTCAATAACAAGATGGTTCCCCCAAACACTATCATGTTACTTGGAGTCTAATAACCTCTGTGACGCTCACGTATGGGCATGCACCCCCTCACAGGTTACTAAGTCACATTTTTAGATCTCACTCCAGCTACTCATTTTACAGGAAAAAGGTTTCATCCATGCAACTCCAGCTTCTCTGTCACCAGCATTTTTTTAAACAGAAGCAAAGAAGATTGTTCAAAAAATACAATTCTGTTCAAAACATGAACCCATTTTCCTGACATACAACAATTTCCAACAACCTCCTTCCTACAAAATGTGCAAAAACATCACAGTAAGGACAAAGTATCTGCAGGTCATGTAAAGCATGACTGATGAAGGTACAAAACAGAAATTGTATAGAAAAAAAAATTGTCCTTGGAAGTGCAAGCACTTCTGCAGTACAATTAACTTAATTAACCAGACAACATGAATATTCATAAGGCTGTTAATGTCTCCCCCATCCAAACAGATAAATGTGATGTAATGACTTCCTAGTCAAGCGTAGCTAAAATTCTGATGAAAACTGCACCAGCACTTTGGTTCTTTGCCTGAAATATCACAGAAATTGACAGTCCCTCAGTAATATTTTATTTTTCTGAATTAACTGGAAATCATGAATTTATTTAAATGAACCATTTAGGACCAAAAGGTTCACAGCCATCAGATAAAGATAGTCTCTTGTTCTGTAACAACTGGATAGCTTTTTTAATGTTCTTCCAGTTCCCCCTCCCCTTCCTCCCATTCCCCCCTCACACAGTTCCTTAGCAGTAGTTCCCATAGCAACACACGCTTTTGCTAATGGCCAGCAGTGCCACTGCAGGCTTCCCCACATCTCATCCATTTGATTTGGGCCAGAATAAGGCAGCTCAGTAGAGTATTGTAGTAAAACCACACTCCCCTCTGGACCTTTCTCTTCAGGAGGTAAACTGTTCCAAGAGCAGCTCCTTCCCATCAAGTTGGCTGAAACTTCAAAATGTTGTCTTCACTGCTTATAACAGAGGCTACGACCAGAGTTTAATCCCGTAATAAAGCCTCTATTTTTACTCAGCTGGAGAGTCCTAATGATTTGGTACAATGGATTTCTGGGCAGGCAAGATGATTAATTGACCACTGAGCTCCATCTTCATCATGTGCACAAGTATACTTACACATTTTCCTAACTGACTACTTTTTTTGTATGTCAGTAATATGGAAATAAAATAAACAATAGATTATTTTCTAAGAACTTGTTAAGGAGTTTCTCATAAATTGTTCTTACGTTCTCTTCTAACAAAGTCTATGGCATTCTGTGTAACAAGATATACAGTATTCTTTTATATTCACAAATCCTTTTTGATAGTGACATACTTGTCTTAAACCGGAAAGAATAAGTCCTAATGATGAAGCATAGTGACCTAAGCACACCCAAACAGCACAGAATCAGTGCTGGAGAATCCATCTCAGCACTGTCAGGATACTCACAGCAACTGAACATAACTGCTGTACTAATATTCATTTGCTTCATGTCTTCAAGATTACTGTTTCTTTTACCAATACATTTCCAAGGGGTCTTTAACTTGAAAAAACTAGTGTAATGCGTATTTAAAAGCAACTACTCCCTGTCTTACTGCTACTTTTAGAAGTGCAAAACAAGTCAAAGCACTTAAAACCTGCTTGCTCCATTGGGAACTGACTTGCTCCTTTTTTTTTTTTTTTTTACAGAAAACTGAAAACAATTTGCTGTTTATGTGGCTGAGGGCATTTTTTCCTTACTAGTTAAAAACATCTGAGAAATCACATCAAGTAGTCACGTTAATGTCCACACCAGAAGGTAGCATCCATGCAAAACTACCCCTCTTCTTTTAAAGAGGGGTGATTCCTATACCCGTCCTGTACTAATTCTAGCTAAGCCTCCCTGCCTGGCCTTAGTCATGCTCTAAGAAGGGCAGATAAGAAAATTGTGAGGAGAAGGGACACATACACATACCCCCCAAACAAAGAAACCACACCACTAGGTGCAAGTATAAGTTAATAAAGTACCAAGAGGATTTAAAGAGATGCATACATTTTCAGTTCTGGAGGAGAAGACAAAGCTGTTTCATGTGCAGTTTTGTTTTGTTGGTTTTTTTAAACTGTAATCCACAAAATGTATTCCTAGGACACCATTTAAAAATAGACCTTAAGCATGAATCCAACTGAGAATCCTGCCAAGAAAACTGGAGAGAAAAGGAAAGCAACGTGGCTTATATAAAAGAAAATTCTAGAGAGTTTTTGTTTGGTACCATTTCTGGCAACAAACAGGGGCAAAACTTGATCTTTGCATGGATCAGCTGAAAATTATTTTAGTATACTTCATCCTGAGATTCTTCCTTTAGGCAAAGAGCTCATCTGTGTCATTACTATAAATTATCATAATGATTTAAAATGTAGTCATTTGTAATCAATCTCAATCACTAATTTAGGACAGTTATTCAATAGCTCCCTTAAGTAACTGAAGCTTTAGCACCAAGAACAGCCTCTACTAGCCAAAACTCTAAAACATGCCAGAGGGATTTAAAACAGAAGACTTACAAAATGTAACAGTACCTGTACTGTAACAGCAGTCTCACCTGCTGGTATTACTCCAAGAGGAACCGGTGCTCTGACAGGCGTTGGTATATAGTCTGTGTCTTTTCCAGCATCTATCTGGGCTTTAAGTAGCAGACCATGAACAACTTCACTGACAGATCCATCTCCACCAACACAAACAACCCTATTACGAAACAAAAATGCTCAACAGTTCAAAATAAACTCTGCCAGAGCTCAGCAAACAAGTGGAAGGCAGCTATCATACACCATGCACATAATGATACTTCAAATAGCTAAAAAACATTCTTTTTTTAAAGAGGAAGATAGGGCTTCACTATCAGATCAGTGAACGTTAACTAACAAGATAAAAGTATCCTTATTTCTGCTTTCTTCTATCTCAGTAGGGATAAATACATTTAACTTAGAACATATTTCTTACCTTATCACACACTGTGCATGTGAACTGAATTAAGCACGGCTCAAGTGCCTCAGTGGAAAAGTTCTTTTAAATCTTGCAATGCTGATACAGATAAGCATTCCAATGCTTTCTAAATGCCCCTATAATAACTCACCAAATAGTACAATAAAAATAAAAATACTTGAAAACAGCTATTTCCACACACTACGCAGCCAGTTGAGGGATTTAGCAAGGTATAAAACCCTAGTGCCAGCAATCCTTTGCATCAAGGTACTTAATCACTGCTTCTGGAGCATGTAATTAAACTCCCACCTGCTGTGGCTATAGAGAGGAATGCATTTGTCTGTAAAAGCTCTGTTACAGCAAACATCTTTCCTTTTTTCTGTTTTTGTTTATCTAAGTAACTGTTAAAGTGATTCTCCAAATTAGCAATGTTTGAAAGTTGTATCTTTTTAAGGTAAACACATTCTAATTATAAAAATAGTAATAGTGCACTCCAAGAATTTACAATACAAGATCAACTTTAGGTGGCACTTAAGATATATTTTTTCATGTCTATATGAATTCAGTTCTGAAACTACATCAAATAACCAGATAAAACTGGTAAGCTCTTCATATGCAAATTCTCACTATGCTACTAAATGTTTAGATTAAATTATCTCAGTTCCTTTAGCATTTTTCTTCAGCTTGTATCATGATTTACTAGCTATTTTTTAATTTCTGTATTATTAGAAATGTTTCCTCTATCTTTCTAAACACTACCCACATAAAAAAAAAAAAAGGGTATCTAGACAGTTTGGAGCACATTTTCTTCCAGCTCACAGTCATCTCCTGTCTTTTGTCTCATTTTTATTTAGATTGGTTTACTCCTAGGCTTAAAAGTTACCTTCCACAGTAGCAAAACCAGTTAATCTTTGTAGTCTGATACACTATACACCTGGAAGGACTTAGGCGGATTGCCTTTTTGCCATTGAAACTTTTGAAAATATATTATCTTCTGGTTTTGGGAGGCTGTGTTTGTTCTTACTGAAAACAGATGAAGAGTTTAAGGAATAGAATAAAATTGCTGCTAACTCTATTTTTTTATTAATTTAGCATTAATCAAGAGTTGCCTTTTTGACTGAAAATAGAGATACCCTCAGGGACCAGGGATTCAAAAGCTAATCAGTGAGAACCTGCTATCGATAAGGAGTAGAAAGTCTGAGCAAATAGATTCGACTAAGACCTTGGAGAAGGCTCCTTAGAGGAAGGAACATCTGTCTAGCTGTCTGTCTACCATTACACACAAGTTCGCAAATCAACTATTCACATGAGGCCTTCAGTCCTCACCTACCTTGCTTCCAGTTGCTTCTAAGCTTGGGCAAGGCAGATCAGTTCTACGTTAGCTCTGCCACATAAAAATAGCACAAAAACTACCTTACCTCTTGCCACCACATACAATACCTTCCACACCTAAAAAGGTTGAGAAGTGCTATTCTATTTTCTAAACAGGGAACTAAGTGACAGACACGGTATTCAACTTGAAAAAACCCGGACAGGAAGCCAGAGCAAAACAGGAAAGAATTGAAGCCTGCCAAGTCACAAGCAACACTTCTCAAAGAATAAATAAAATTTCTCAAGACTTAATGGAAATTGTGGAAAGATGTCAGGTGGTTGTTACCTATTTTTTTGGTTGCCTGATTTGTTTTCATCAGTAGGACAATTTCATTGTTGTGGAGTTCATTTTCAGTTCAAACCAGATCCCATAGATTTTCAGGTTTAACTTTCAATAAATCAAACTTGACATTAAATTTAATTTGGGAAACACTGAGGGGGTTTAGGGGGCCTATAAGATGTTTATATCTATGGCAAAAATTCTTAGGCTAGACAGCAATGGGGAAGTCACAAAGGACTTCACAGGTACATAATCAAAAATACACCTTTAAGCACGTTGAAAAAGAAAATCCCAATTTCAAACAGTCTCTTCCTGCTCTTAAGAATTAGAATTACTCTAAAGATAATGAAGAAGAGAGAGACTAGTGATGTTTTGCAGCTTTCTTTTTCAAAGTATCAGCTCTTTATAGCATAATATGAATGCTGATTTCATCCTATTGCTCTCTGTAGATTTTACTTGAAAATAAAAATTGGTGGTACGTCAGTATAAAGAGTTACCCTTGCAAATCATCTTCACTATGATCTCAAATAAAAAAGCATCCCAAGTTAGCTGTTTATTAGGTATTAATGCTGTATTGTGTTCATTGAATGAGTGCATAGATGAAGACCAAGCTATTTGAGGAGTCATAACACTCATTTTTCAAACACTTCAACAATAAAAACTACTTAATTTCCACATGACAAATAAAAAAAAGAGGAAGGAAAACAAACAAACAAAACTTATTCAGCTAACTTAGACAGGACAGGGATCTTTTCACCTCAGAAATCCTAGCAGCACATTGACTTAAACATTATTCTTTAAGCTTCTTCTGATCCTATTTGCCCAAAGGTCTGGCTACTGGAGAGAAGTCTCACAGGGGAAGTACTTCAGTGACTCTACCCAGTGATCAAAGATGAAACAACTTAAATAAGACTCAGATTAGAAGGGGTTTGTGCAAGAAGAAAAAGAAGGCTTTTTCTTCTCTTTCTTCATATCTGCTTCCCAGCATTAACTGATTCCTGAGCTAGCACCTCAAAACACACATCTTAATTGGAAAGAAATTATCCTTGGAATCTGGAATACGTATATACATTTTTAGATATATTTTCTCACCTAAATCCACAAGTTTCTAGAACTAATACCAATTGATTAGACTATAAAACACTATTGAAGCCTTCTTGTTTGACTCATTGCATATTCCAATAAGAATTGTAAGAATGCCATAAGGGTTCCATAGTATGCCAGACTATTCCTCCACATTAGTGAATTTTATCTTTGAATGGTTAATGTAAAAATACTAAGATTGTAGGATTAATCCTCATAGCAAGGTCTTTAAAAATGATTGAACAAGAATTTTCACTGAACTTCAAGGAAGTTTGAATTACTTTTTTAACTGAAAAAAACCTTCAAGTTACTTCCAGATAAAATGTTCTCCTTTGGAACCATTTGAATAGAGAGAGTGAAACAGATAGGATGCCACTCTTGCAGATACAGACCCCGACGCTTTCATGAAGCACATTTATAAAAGCTTTAGGCTTATTTAGCAATACTTGCAAATCTAAAATACAAACCTATTGTCAGTAAGCAATAAATAACCAAAACATCTAATAAGAACTGATTTTCTCAGGCTTAATGTATATGTGAAACAGTGTAACTCATCAAATACTTACTGGCATAGTTCTGGAATACAAATAAAAACTAACATGATAAGGTTTACTAACATTCATTGTCACTGAAAAACTTACCCGTCAAATGCTTGGAGTTCACATTCTTTAAGTACTGAGAGAGCATGTCCTTCATATTCAGTTACTACAGAAAACAACAGTATTTAATTATTAGAAAATTCAATAAATTTAGGGTATTTACAACACAAGGAACATACAGTAGTTCAGATCAGATTATTTTTCTTAAATCATTAAACATATTACAAGCATGATAAGGTACGTTTTACAGTTATGCTAGCAGAAAGGAAAGACACCTTAAAACTCAGCTGCTATCAGACACATGGCTATTTAATGCATTTAAATTCAGAGAATCAGAGAAAACGTTTGTTGCATCAAAATGCAAGTTTCAGCACTTGACACAGTTGCTAAACTTCAGGAAAATGTAAGCATATCCTCAGTTAAGACTGAATTATTTCAGTATCAATCAAATTTAATTGCCTTTGTGTTAGGATATGCAAATTGCTAAACCAAAAATATGAGGAGTTAAACACGGAAGTATGAAATCAAGCCAAATACCAGTGACAACAGAATATAACACACAGAGGGAGGTGGCACAAGTATACACCAGAGTTCATAGCCTCTGGAGGAAATGAATCTGTCACTCTACATTGATGTCTCTGTGTTTGCTGATACCCTATATAGTACTGTAAATGCCAGCGAAGACACGATAAACTGGCATACTGCAGATGGCACAGAGCATCATAACTACATTTAGCATTTTCTAGGCCGGCTTTGCCAGAAGAGACAACCCAGCTGCAGCCACCCATCAAAGATTTTTGCTGACTGACATGACACTTGCAGATGGATTTTTTGTGTAAGAATGTGCATCATTATATGCAAAATTACATTAATCTTTCATGCTTGCTTGTCCCTGGTGCTAGCATAGTTCAAAGCTTAGCTCCAGTGTTTCTAAACACTGTTAAAATTATTAGTCTTGATGTCTAAAACAATCATTCCGTATCTGTACCTGTTATAACAGTATTTCTACAGACTATTCTAATGCTGCTTACAAGAACTGAAAACCTCTTTCTTTCCCTATATAGACATGCAGAGAGAGAAATCCATATGGGTAGCGAGTGTATATGTAACTTTTTTTACAAAAAAGAAAACATAATTAAAAGTGATAAAATTCTTGCCCTTCACACTAAACAATCGTATATCAACATAGAACTTCGAAATCTCCCAGCCAGTGCCTCGTGGTTTGGAAATTCTTAATTGAAACCTAGACTTATTTTGATTATATCACAGGCAGAGAATGATCATTTCGCTACCAAAATACCTATCACTAGAATAGCTTTCAGGAATTATTTCCAGAATTTCCTTTCCTGCAGGACCTCTTCTGGAAGACCAAAGTGCAATATTTCAGCTATTACACTCAGGTTTGCTTTTACCGATGGGAACCATCCTTTTATCATTATCTGTAAATTGTGAGAAAAACCTGACCAATAAAACCATAGAGGCTCATTTTTTTTTACCACTGCTTAAAGGTGAAAGAAACTTCCCATGAAAACCTACAGTTATTTAACAGGTAACATGCCTTCTTAAATGAGCATGATGACATTTAGAAAGTTGTAAGTATATTCTAATTAAAATGGTACAGTAAATAAGATTTTATTTCGTAAAAGAAAATATGCCTAGTGGTCTCCTAATGCAATGCATGCAAGTTACGTTTACTAATACAAAATTAATTCACTCAAAGAACAAGGACATGAAAATAAAGAGGACTTGTCTACAGAGAAAACAATAAAGGCAGATAGCCAGATTGATGGCGACTCCATCCTCTTTGCATCTGACAGCTTAAGTTTGGAAATTATATAGGACTACTGCAAGGCTTAACAGTGGAGATAATTCCAGGAAAACTAACATTTGACAAGAGAATGAGGTACACAGCATCTATTTTCAAACGTTGTGACAAAGAGGTATTGAAAAATGAAATTTCCAGGAAAAGCTTCCTGAGAACATACAGAAAATTGATCAAGTAGGAAAAAACGTAAAGCTAAAACATCTAACACAGGCATAAAAGGACCACGCATAAGAAGTTTCCTGCAGGCTAGGCAACCTTCAGAGGGACACTAAAGTAATTCTGATATAAGCTCGACGTTTGAACATGTGGTCCTGTTCCAGTTCAGGGGGAGAAGGGAAAAGTAAAAGAGCACACCAAAAAAAAACACAAGAAAACAAACAAAAAAAAACCCACAGAATGATTTTTGATAAGAGGAAGAAAGAGCTTCTTTAGCTATTTGAGAAGGATTCAGATGACATATTTGGCAAAAGTGTTATCAGAAAAATATTATTTGATGCTTTTTTTCAACTATTTCTAACACAACTATTTTCTTTCTCCTTTTTCAAGGAAATTTTTTTCCAAACTTGTAAATTCCAGTATGCGTTAAGTTTCAAGTAACAGCATTCTGAAAAAAGGGCACTGACAGTGTACTTCATTTGAACAGTCATACATACTCCAAAACATCCTTAACACCTTATCTCCCATAGTCAACAACCAACTAAGGGTTTAGCCCCTACCAAAAGAAAAAACAACACAGAATTAGTTCAACACTTCAAAATGTAGAACACTTCTTTGTGACATGTATAAATACTGGCATTCATGTCACAGACTAATGTCAATAGGATTAAAACTGCTAATGATAAGAGCAGATTAACTGGTGCTGACACTGGATAAAAAAAAAGTACATTAATGTTACTTACTGTATAGTAAGTTTAAACAAATGTTATTTGGCCAATTCTTAATCACTCTTCTTGTTTGGGATTCTGCCCTAAGAATGGGGATATGGGGAAGACTGGTTTTGCCTCAACGTCCAGCTTGTAGCTGCACATAAACAGAAAACTCAAAACCAGGAAGAGAAGTGAGACGAGCTAGCACTCTGGTGCAATTACCTTTACTTATTTTTCTTTATTATGTGTAAGATTTTGCAAGGTACCTACATATTTTTAAACCACGTAAACCAAATTATCAGTATTTGCCAGCATTTGTAGGTATCCCAACTGTGGAGCAAGCTTTTGTTGAACTGGATTTTTAGAAGGGTCACTGTTCTTGTCCTAACAGCCATATCCCAGCTGCAGCACTCAAGATGATGAACGCTTAAAAGGTTGTATAAAGACCAGATTTTAAGTATTGCTTAGTCTTAACTACAGTTAAAGTACAGATTTAGTTTAAATTTGCCAATTCCCTCTGACTGCACTGAACAGTTAAGAGATTTGTTTATTCCATATAACAAAAATAACCCTAAAACACAACCAACACAATCCACTCTAAGAACTTTGTTTAATTTTATTGAAATTAATATCTCTCTAGTGTAAAAGAGGATTTGGAAAAAAAAATAAACCAAACAAAAAGAAAAAACAACAACAAAAAACCCCACCAAATTCAAACATATTTGGATAGAAGAAATGCTGTTTCAGAACTCACTCATTTACATACATGCCTTTTCATTGCTGTATATCTGCGAGTAGGAGAGACCACCTCCACTCCAAAGTTCTAAATTAAAGTTTATTCCAACAGAAGTTACAATGAAGAATAAGATCAGGCAATCTTGATCTTATAAGAAGCAAGAGCCAGCTATGAAAACATAGGATTGGATGAGAAGACCTCTGTCTTCAAACACTTCAACCACTGTCAAAATTTATTGGTTTGGGGTTTTTTTAGTAACCTGTAAGTCTTTCATATGCAGTGGAAGCCACTTCAGATATTCAAATTTGCCTTAAGATTTTTTTGCACAATGAAATTTAATCTTTACATACATGTATGTGAGAAGACTAAAAGTCTATCTATCCTCGCTATCTATCTATCCATCTATGCATCCTCGCTATCTATCTATCCATCTATGCATCCTCGCTATCTATCTATCTATCCATCCTCGCTATCTATCTATCCATCCATCCTCGCTATCTATCTATCCATCCATCTTCACTATCTATCCATCCTCGCTATCTATCTATCCTCGCTATCTATCTATCCTCGCTATCTATCTATCCTCGCTATCTATCTAATCTGTCTCTTACACTATCTTCAGTGTAAAAATTGTACAAAAGCCTTCAACTTTTACTCCCTAATACACCTTTGTACATCACCATGTATGTAAATAATTGGCCATATTTTAGTAACAGTGGGATGCACACTCCACAAAATCCAAAACAACCATGGGAGATAGAAAAACCTGTTCGATTTACTTGAAATAATGCACTTAGTTTTATTAGAAGATGGTACCAGTGGACAGGACTTTCACTCAGCACCCACCACCACCACACCCCCTTTTCTTTTTTTAATGCATAGTTCTTCATTATTTAGTTCTTTCCTACCATTTAAAGCTGTAGTTTTCTCATTTTACCTGTAGGAGGAGTGCTAGGCAGCTAATAAGCACAATAGTACCTGGACATTGCCAAAATAACCTTATTTTAAGGGTAAGCCATTAAATATTTATCTGGCTGAAACCTGAAGTTTCTTTTCAAAATTTAAAACAAAAATTCTAGGGAAAAAAAAAGTTTTAAACTGTTTGTATTCAATTACAAAATTTTTTTTAAATAGCTAAAAATTACGTTCGTAGCTCATATTAAATTCTATTAATCATTATAAAAGAGCACTGATACAGATCTGGTTTAAGATGCCAGGTGGCATTACATAGCTAAAAATGTAATCATAGACAGGTTAATGATAATGCTGCCTTTAACAGAGCCTAACAAACAAGGTTCTGTTCACAGTAAAGATAAAAGAAACACTAACCAGTAGGAATAAAATTTGTAACAGGTAGTTCTGTTTAAATAATTGTTTAAAATAAAGTCATAATTAATTTAACAATATGACAGGCATTCATCTCTACCCAAGGTTTGCTAAGTTTAATTTCTAAGAAGGCAGTTTATTATTAATCTATTTAGGCTATCATCTATGCCCTGCAGGTGAAAAATACATCTGTGAGAATCAAAACTTATACAAAGCTGCTGGCATTCCCTTATCAGTTAAGGAAGTTAAGGAATTCTAACACAGAATATTTTTCACACTTATGTGTCTTTAATTTCCAACTGATTTTACTTTAAATTGTGGGCTAAGTAATTAAAAAATGCATAGGTACAGATAACACAATTAGCAAGATAAATCTCATACACAAACACTTATTGCATTATTGTATCCTCATGCCTAAATAAGATTTGCTTAGAATGATTTTTGGCCTGCAACCTGAATAAGTCATGATGTCACAAGATGCTCAAGGCACAACTGAGGAAGAACCCTCTGTCTTATAATTTGTTTAAGCTGGAACTGATTATTTTGCCAGCCAATTACAACAGAAATTGGGAAAAGATTTTTTGGTGCTAAAATGTCTTGCCCCAGACTTTATACTTCACGTGGATATGAAATGCATTATTAAAGATTAGCAGTGTACTAAAGAAAATTATAATACTACAGATAAAAAAACCCCCAGTATTTGGAATACGAAATATTAATATAGTTTCTCTGCAAACCTGGGTGGTTTTGGGGACCAAAGTTGACACAGCGTATGTTCCAGTCTCTTCACAGAAGGAGGCAGAAGTAATAATCAGATCATTAATATTTTACTGCTTTAAGAAAATCAAATGAAAAAGCAAAAGGGCAAACCCAGGACATAAAGCAGAACTCTATCAGAAGTTGGGGCCTTAAATTTAAACCTGCTACAGGGAACCCACTTTTAAGCAGAAGGCAGCATCACAACAGCGTTAAAGTTGTACCTTCACACTCTCCTGACACCAAGTCATGACCATATGCCTCATGAGAATTGCTCTTGTCAGCACAGAACTTAATCACTTAGGCTTCCAGGTCATCCCTGAAACTGAATCAGAATCCAGAAATAATGTGCCCTATGGATAAGCGCCTCTTATAGTGTCAGGCCAATAGGTGCTCTCAGAAAAGAAGCAGCATTTAAGGACACGTGTTTTCAGAACACAGGAACAACTCTTAGTAAGCATATAAAAGACTGTCAGACATTACACAATAATACCTTTTTATAGACTGAATGCTTAAAAAAAACCCACAGAAAATATATTACTAGTATTGATAACTATAGGTGAAAACTATTCAGTAACAGATTTAACAAAACATTTTTTGACCAAATAAAAATGTATTATATTGCAGTTTCAAATGCAGTACTTGCAGGCAAAGCCAAGAAAGATTAGCAGTAAATTCAAATTTCTTTGCACACTTAAGTACTAGTTTCACAAGAGATTAGACGATGCCTTTGAAGCAACTTACCTGTGACATCAGTTTTGATGTCAGCAAGCCGAAAAAGAGGTGCAACTTGTTCATAATAAACATGAGTGGCTTCTCTTTTGTGGCTGCTTGGATTAACAAATACTTTTAAGGATTTTGGTCTATTTTGAAAGCCTAAAAATAAAACACAAAACATTTAAGATTGCACACAGCCCAGTTATTTTTACAGCTTAAATGAATATTTAATATTAGAACCACTGCAGTACTTTGACAGAATAAATAAATTATAATCTAAGAAAGATCTCAATTTCTTCTTGGCTGTGCACTATTTACCTTAAAATTACAGTACTGACTACTTTCATGTGTACAGCTAATAAACAGTAGAAATGAATCACAGACCAACCAAAACATTGTAAGATCCAGAAACAAAGGCGTATGTCATAACCTAGTTAAAACCTTGAAACAGGATCAGAGTGAATGCGGAGAAGTTGTAAGATTGGGCAACAAAAGTCCCAACTATCAAAATATATCCTTGTTGGAATTTAACATGAAACGCTCCCAGCAGGCATACGACAATAACACCCATAAGACTGGTGCCACTATCTAATGCTTTTGTTTTCTGAGACTGCAAAGCAAACAGAGCAAGGGAAACACCCTCATCTTGAAAGAGGCCCAAAGAAATACAAAGGAATAAGAAATTCTGTAATACATTTTGGTCTTCAAAGTCATAGACTCTGAGCAAACAACACTGAGAAATACTGCTATGCAAACAATACCTAGTCTTGCACATTGATCCCATGAAGTAACTTTATTATTTGGAATATGGCATTTTATTGAATAGTAAATAATTCCTACTAAAACAGTACCATTACCTTCAAGATCTCTTTTCTAGAATTCCTACAACTGCCACGATTCAGTTAATGCTGTCTGCTACGAAAAGCAAGTGGTGGCTTGCGATACTGCTGTTTCTTTAGGAGATACTTAATGATTTAATATGATTTGAACTATTCTAAATTTTCTTTCAGTATCAGGTTAGACTATTGCTTTCTTAGCCTAATGAATGCTGCAATATCCAACAAGAGTACTGCTTTCAGCATTCAAGAACGAAATTAGCAGTAGGCCACAACTCCAGAAGGAACCAAGAGTTTAAGCACATTTTCCTGCCCTTGTAGGGCATTACTTCAACTTTTACGTCCACATGTAGTTTCAGAGTGTCAGCTGGGACTTCCTGAAGCTCTTCACATTTACTCTACCTCAACAACTGAGCAGGAACACTTCCTCAGAGAAATTAAGCTAAATATTATTTCAGCATCAAAGGGGAAAGTATACCTCCAGATCAAAACATAACAATTATAGAGGTCCCATAGATTATTTTTTCACTTATTTAAACACATCAAAGAGTCTGGAAGTGAAAACTAGCACTTTATCCAATTTGTAAATCTTAGAAGATTTCTTAAAGATATTGAAGAAAATTACTGGACCAGTTTGATGTTATAACCTGAAAGCATACATAAAGAACAAGATTTCTAATTGTATTTGTGGCAAATGCTACACACAGTGCTATGTCATTGCATGGCAAATTAATCCTGATGAATCCTCAATGTCTCATGAATCCTGAATGTCTTCAGAAATAAACCTTAGTACCTACATTTAAAAGTATCTTATTTAAAAGGTGATAGAAAATAGAGAACTTGGTGAGGACGGTGGATGTGCTGGAGGGCATGTCTGCTGTTCACAAGGACCTTAGTTACATACAAGAAAGGTTTGACAAAAGCCTCAAAATATTCAATAAAGGCAAACACAAAGTCCAGCATCTGGCCCAGCAAAACCCTAAACCTGCAGGCTGGGGATCAACCAATTACACAGCACCTCTTTAAACAGCATCTGAAGTTTCTGATGGAGAAGGAGTTGAACATGAGCAGGCAGTGTGTCACTGATGCCATGAAGGACAAGTTCTTACTGGGTTGCAGTAACAAGAAGAAAACCAGTAGTTCAAAGGATATAACTATATCCTTGTATTCGAACCTGAATCTCAAAACCTGCATCCACCTTTAGTCCTCCCAGCACTAGACTGATGAAATGGGGTGAGTCCAGTGGAGAACGGTAACTGAAGAGAGGCAGCTGGCTTTGTATAGCCTTGAGAAGCTATCTAGATGCCGTCCTTAAGTATCTATTATGGGAGTAATAAAGACCACCAACTCACACTCTTTACAGATTTAAGGACTCTCCACAATCAGGGCAGTTAAGCCATGGATCACACTGCCCAGAGTCTTTAGAATGTCCATGCTTAGAGATTTTCAAAACTTATCTGGGTCTGGCTCTTAGCAATGTGATCTTATTTAGAAGCTCACCTGCTCTGAGCAGGAAGCTGGAACAGAGACTCTCCAGAGATCTGCTCCAACCTAGATTATTCTTGATTCTCTGGAAATGGAAACAAGCACTGCAGGTACGTACACAAAGTAAATTTCTAATCATAGGAATTACAACACAAATAAACAAGATTGCACAAAATTTCCCAAAGACTATTAAAACAAATCATCAAAGACATCATATTAATTGTTACTCAAGACACTTAATGGAAATCTGCTCTCTGGTACTGTTGCAGTCTTTTAGAAGTCATAAAAAAAGTAAGACTAAAAATGTAATTTCTGTGACGTGATAACCTTACCTAAAGTTTCAATAGAAATTAAATTGAAATCTACAAGAATAAGCACTCCTCATTTAAAAGAGAAAATATTTAAATGCACTGTCATGTGCATGTCACTGATCAGCTAGCCCTAAATGAATCTCAACCCACACCAACACCCAGATATATAACTGTAAAAACTGACTACAGTTTTTGATTTGTAAGTGAAGTATACCTTTCAATGTAAATATATATACGTATATACACACACAGACTTCTAACATGCAAAGCAGAGGGAAAGAACAGGAAAGTACAGAGTGTACAGTCTGTACAAGTGCAGAAGGGTGATGAAGTGTCAAATGCTGTTATCCAGTGTGAGTCACAATACTGCTAAACAAGGATTAGGAGAAAACTGAAGGGGGGGGGGAAAGCAAACATTATCTCTCCTAACTGGTTTCGAAGTTTAGGTGTAAAAATTTAAGCACCAGGTGGCAATTTAAAGTTTCATATTAAAACAAAAGTAGGCGAAAGAACACAGGGTTTTCAGCTGGTGGGGGGAAAAAAGTCCTAGATTTTTAAGGAAAATGTTGGGGTTTTTTTCCTTTTTCCCTTTTTTGTTTGGGGGGGTTTGCTTTTTTGTTTTTAATCAAAAATTCATTTATTAAGTTATTCTAAACCAGGAACTGTATTTATGATTGCTGAAAAGTAGATCAGTGTTAGTACATAAATCCTTGTGAGTCAAATGAATTCACGGGATAAAAGTGCTAGAATATTCTCTTTATGACTACTTGAACATCAATTTACTTTTTTAGAGAGGTAAACTATTTACAGAAATGTGTCTCAGAGACAAGGCATTTGAGCAGAGATTTGGTATGCTACTGTGCTGATGTGGTTTTGTGATTGCCAACTGGCATGAAAGGATGATCACAACAAAAATTATCCCTTTTTCATTCCCAGCATGCTCTGGAAACACCAAATAACTGCTTTTAATGAAAGAATAGCCAGTAACAGTCAAAAGTTAAACTTTCACACAATTATACAGTGAAACTTCTTTAAAAGTATTTTTAAATAATATTTTATTTTTAACAACATCTATATGAATGAATCAATGTCATTTACTACAGCCTGCAACTGATTTCAGTCTGTCAGCCTTTTGGTGTTCTCTCTAACTGGTATTCCGCTATTGTTTTCTGTGGCTGCTCCGTTTGAAATGAACCAGCAGCCTAAAGCAGGAAGGCCAACTGTTCCTCTAGTACTAACAAATGTGCTAATATGCACTAGTTTAAACTTGATCTGTCAAGTGAATCAGTGAACCATGAAGGGTGGTGGGTCAATCAGGGTGTTCTGAAAACAAAGGCTCATAGGGCAGCAGAGACGCTATGCGCAGACATACATCTGTGCTGCTTTCAGGTCTTAGCGTTATGAAATGGGTTTATGTTACAGAAGTTAAGAGCCTGGAATCATGTCATTACTGAATACGTTTATAAATACTTTATATGACACTAAGAATATTATACATGAGGAAAACTAACATTATGAGAGAGATTTGATAATTTAACTATGGAGACACCACTGTTAATATTAACTAACTGAAGTTAATGTTTAACATTAATGGTTTAATTAAAACTTCATGCATGAAGTTTCAGACTTTCATATCAAATCTCATTGTAAAAGATACTACAGAACAGTAGATAAAAAATAAAAGGCACTTCATGCATTTTTTGCTACTTTATCGTTTATTCTCAACCATGTTTACTGTCTTCTGTTAGTTTACAGAGTTTTTAAGTAAAACCTTTTCAAATCAACCGTTAATAAAAATAAACCTTATCATGCTAAAAAAAAAAAAGGAAGGAAAAATTTTATAATTAAGCATTTTATCTCGCTTCTGTGCCTGTCTTAACCCTTTAAGAAACACTGGGTATTTGCATGAACAGAGAATTTTAAATAAAACAGTGAATTCCACTTACACACTATCTCATAACTGTACATGCCCATAAGTCCAGTACAAAAAGATATGATGTATAAATGGAAATCACTTAGAGTGAAGAGTACAACAGTTCTGGTGTGAGAGCAGCAGCATACTAGAAGCTGTCTAAACTGCAACTTCACGCTTTTCAGGAGCCAGTCCAGAGCCAAGGCTCCATAGGTGAATGCCTTAAAGTGGCAGTGGTTACTCTCTGTCAGTTTAACAAAAATGGGATATACAGAAGGTCAGTTTTTCTGAACACCGTATCATTGAGCAAGCTCTTTATATCCAACTGACATGCACATAAACAGCAACACCATCATGTGGAAAACAAGAACTTATTTAAAAGTGGGAAGATGGTAGCACATGCTTCTTGTAACTGTCACACACACAGAACCGTAACAGCATCCACTATAATTCAACTCTAAATAGCTGTATCGTACTTGTGTGCTCACTTATATGATGGCAGGATTTATGAAAAGTTATAACCTAGTTAAACTTTAAATTGAAGTACACTGAGCACATCCAAAGTAACAGAGGATACTCACTATGAAAATACTAAGAATGAACATGAAAAATGCAAGGAACATCCATCCTCGCTATCTATCTATCTATCCATCCTCGCTATCTATCTATCCATCCTCGCTATCTATCTAATCTGTCTATTACACAAAACAGTGAAAGAGAAACCATGTACATGGCATTTCAGAAAAAATCTTGAAATCTTCATTAGAACAAATCTCCACATAAAATTCTGTCAGTGATGATATGAGCTAAACTTGCTATTAGTGTTCCTTAATGTATATGCACAAAAATCTAAACACTTGACAAAGAGTAATGCAAGCAAACAGAAATTGCATTTATTTCCAGAGGAAACACACCTGTTAGCAATATTTAGCCATCCTGGCAAATGAAAGCACATGTTTACTGACAGCCATACCCAAGCATATATAAACTCTTTGATAAATCACTTGCTTTTCATTAGGTCCAGCCTAGAAGCAATAAAAAAACTGCTTCAAGTAAATAACGCAGCAGTTAATTAGAATTTGTGACCAGATAGAATAGAAAAAAACCCCAAACATGTACACTTAAATTTAGACTATTTTAGAGAGACAAAATTTCAACTTTCTCCTGCAGCTCATAAGGAAACCAAAAAGGAGCCAATTTGAGTTCATTAATAAACACACCATCATCGCTATCATGAAAACAAGCTGCAGCAAAAACTATAAAAAAGCACCACTGTTTCAAGCAGAGATATATCAATGTGCCTTTTGAGATTTCAGTTACCAAGGAATCAGCAGAACTTATCTGCATTTTATACTTGTAGTCCAGACTTGAAGCCCACTGGGAACTTCTAACCAATGTTTGGTACATTTTAAATCAAAGGACTTTTTCTCTCAATTATACTATTACTATGCCAGCCCTGAGTTACTGGTAACACCTCTCTGCCACACTGAATGTAGAGATACTGCTGCTTTTTGGGTGATTTTCTATATAAAAAAGCAGTTTGAGTATCTACCCAGAATGCTCTTTTTCAGGTTCAGGTGGCTTCCAATTACAAAGTTATAAAACAGAAACCGCACCTCGAAGTCAAGGCAACCTGAGCAAGAGATACTGCTGCTTTTTTTCTGTGAACATATGGTACCACTGCTCCTGATAGATGGAGGATAATCTGGGAACAAAACAGACATTTGCTCCTTATGCAAATGTCCTTGCCTTTATGGGTAGCTGGAGATCTGCAGGAATCTTGGCACTTCTACAGATTTAGCTATTTTGTGATAAACTTTTGCAAAAAAGGACAAGGGAAGGCACTTTTTAATGCACTTTTTTTTTTGGAATATCCAAAACATACTGTAAGCAAACAATGTAAGAACGTGCTGTTAATAACTCATGTTATTTTACTTTCCCTAATATCTGCTTTTGACAAAGTTCCTTTAGTAAAAGTACACTACAAATTTCTATTGAAATTGTTGTTTCTAACACTACAGATGTAAAAGATTTGAATTTTGCAATGTGGCTCAATATTAACAATCCAGCTGGAGTTTTAATAGTCTGTTACAAGATGGATTGGGTTTCTTCTGTAACAAACTCATTTGGTATGATCTGTAAACAGGGACACATTCTGGAGCTAAATCAGAGAGTTTGCTTTGTGAAGGGATTTTTTGTTGGTTTGTTTTTTTCAAATCACAACTGTACTATATTGTGTGTCTTTCCATCATTGCTGGTATTAAATTACAGGGAAAAGCTTTGATTTGTTGGGGGGGAGGGACAGCCGAAGGAGTGAATGCTTTTTCCTTAGATTTGACACAGCTTCCGTGAAAAAAAAAAAGCAATTTTCATGTATTAAACAAAGCATCCTAGCACTGGCATTAGCCCAGGCAAACACAGAAAGGTACTTTTAAAATAAAGAACTGCTTCTCATCGCCAGCTAGTGTCAATATATCTTGCATCAGCTTATACAGTGCGAGTCCTACAGACCTTAAGAGCACTTCCACCTGTGAATTTATGAAGAAAAGGAAAGCCTTTCCCATTAGACTCTTAAAGAACCTGCAGGTCTCGACTGGGAGCTCATAAACAGTCACCGGGAAGTCCCTGAAGAGTTCCCAGACTGCAACAAATATAGTACCATCATATGTGCTGCAATTCCAAATGAAACATCAGCAAAATATTTTTTCTTGGAGAACAGATTTCCCTGACGATGTTTCAGTTGGAACACAGAAAAATCCTTATTTTCAGTAACTTCCAAAACACCTCCAGAAAATAACCACCAATTTGTTTAATTTTACAGATGTATTAGTCACTTTCATAAATTTTACTCTTCACAACATGAAACTTCAGTAGTAAACATTTTCCAGCATTTTCATATCTCTTTGTCTTTTCCATAGGCAAAATACTGTTCTAAGCTTCATTCAACCTTAGGCATCGCCAGTAGAAACAAGCCTGAAATAATGACAGCCACCCCAATGCAATGCTTACCATTCAGGATTTCCTTTAGATGTCTAAACCATGAATGACAATGATCTTCACTTAAGTTATTTAAATGGATAGCACAGTCTGTTAGTTTATTCTCTTCTTTATTCAAGCATTTAAAAATTGTGATACCCAACAAAGTACCACCTTTTTTCTGCCCTGCAAAACGACGACGTTTCAGTTTTACTGAAAATACATCTTTCATATCAATAATCTCCTCCTGAGCCTGCACGTTAATGCTGGAATCACCTGTAGGGAGAAAGAAGAGCAAAATAATTGTTACCAATATGATTAGATGTAATAACTAAAAAGAAATATTGTTATGACTTCATTTCCAGCTTCACTTGTTGCACCTCCTCATGACTATATTTAAATTTATTGCCTATCCTTTGCCTCAATGACTGGCCTTGTATTTTACCAATAGAATTATGTTACTTAGGTTAGGTGTCCAGCTATACAAATAACATGACTTCAAACAGATTATTTAGTCCATTTATGATATTAAAAAAGATAAATGAACAGAACTGCAGAATCTAAGAACAGTGAACCAGTTGGGGTTTTGTGCATTTGCATTCAAAAAGCAAATTCTGAATTCTGTTCTCCTAAGTCATAGCAGTTGTATACTCCTAAATCATAGAGCAGAAAGTCTCCTATGACCCAAGCTAACTATATGCTCCATGTTTTTTTCATTTGATACAACTGCTGCTTTTTGGGTTTAGACTAGAGACGTATCATGAAATAGTTAAGCAAAAATAAAAAAATTAACCAAAAGCATGTCCATCTTATCTTTCCTTTTCGCATCATGAATTTACTTTAGAAGACAATAAAAACAGTTTTGAAAGTTCTTGTGACCGTTCAAGACCCTTACCCAAGGGGAGATTCATGGAGGTTTTCTTACGTCAAGACTGTTACACACATGGACTCTGTGGCTGCAGACACTATCACTTCAGTGACACTAGTTCCAGCTACATTTTGGAGACATATAAAGTGAACAAGCATGGTACAGGTTTCTCCTTTTTCTCTCTCTTGAGCTGTAAAACACCTGATTCCTCAGAACCAAAGTTGGACAGACTGAAGAAAAAATGTTACCATTCCTGTAGGTGTCAGATACTCTGGACACAAAAAGAAGTCTCCCCTTCTTTGCAATTACAGCACATCTGATACACTAGACTGATAAAAGTCCTTTAGCAGCCCAAAGCGAGAAAAGGTAACCAGAAACCTTTTCCAAACACAGCAACAGCTCAGTCAAGTGGTTTCTCAATAGCAAAAGCCATAACAGGTTCTGTTTGATGAATAGCTGCTGCACACTGAAGCGCTGGGGAGAAGCCACAGAAGTCTATTTTAACTGCCTTCCTGGAAAAGATGGACAGCACTGCAGGTGAGACTGCAAAATCAAGTATTGCCTATCATTACAACACTTGAAGCTAAGGGCTTCAGGAAGTCATGCTTCTTCTGAGCAGGCAGAAGCAGCTTGTGTCAATTCTTGTAATGCTGACATTTCTCAGCATTATTTCTTGAACCAGACTATGCAGTGATCATCTTTCTATATAGAAATCTTGGAGGACTGCTCCTCAGCAATGCTAATAGAGCTAAAGTTCAGGTCACTATTACCTCTCTTGACAGTTCTCAAACAACCCAATTTCTCCTGTTCCATACCAAATAACCTACTGCTGATAGAAACATGAATTTATTATACTTCCCCCATATTTTTCCAACTTGTTACATTTTACCATCTTAATTTCTCCGTATTTCAGCTACTAAGGTGTAAAACTAGACTAAAATAGATCAATTTTTAACAGGAATACTGTGACAAGTAAATGTGTGCTCTGAGAGAGTACACAGGGAATTGTGTCTAGTGCAGACTTTCAAAAGTACACAGCAAATAAACAGCAGGAAACTCATCAAACAGTAAACAAAACAAAGCTCAAAGTTCTGTAATGACTGCTATAAAAGTATCCTCTATAAAATGGACTGAATGCAAGCAGAGGACTGAGAAACAAACAAATGTGTATGACTCCGTTTGAGCTATGATTTTGCATAGTTCACTTACCTAGAACTACATACATCAATACCTTTATTTAAGACTTGTTTTAATTTTTAAAACAGCATTTTCGAGGTGATACAGCAAGTCTCACTGTCAGACATACATTCAAACTCAATGCTTTAGGAAAATGGGTAAACATAAAGACACATGAAATACAACTGCTCTGTGGCAACAACCAAGCTTCAGCACTTAATGCCCCACACCAGTACAAATACAATAAATGGGTTTGCTTTTTAAATATTTTTAAACAGATAACATTTTGGATTAAACTATTAGTTTTGCTGAGGATATCACGAATTCTGTTATGCTGTTATGCATACGCATCACAAATAAATTACAAACAGCAGCCTATCTGCCCTGCACAAATCAAGTAAAACAAAGGCCTGGTTAAAATACTTTTTATTCCCCACTAGCTTTCATAGAATGACATTTAGTCATAAGCCAGGTAAGGCTTGTCATGTCTCTTTTATTTTACACTACTATTTCAGCCAGATTTTTATTTGCTTTTACATCTTCCTCTTACTCTGTATTTGTCAAATTATTGTGATGCTCAGAATCACATCAAAACATGTGAAAATTAAGATAATATATTCTTACTAGGCAGCACTTTACTTCCAAGCATAATATTTGACTAATTGCTCTACTGGAATACATTGTCAGATACAACCTGGAGAAGCATATAAAGTGTTGAAATACTGAATCATACAACAGCATCATCCTCAGGTTTTAAATTGTAAAGGAAATACTGACCTAGGTAGCAGGATCAGAACAGCCAACTTTTACTAAAGTTGAAAAGAAATCTGCATAAAAGTCCCTGGACATATTCTATAATTTCCATCTTCTTCTTTTACTGAAAATAAGATCATTGCAAATGCAGTAAACTTGTATAAAACAAAACAGATAAAGAAAAGTGAAGTAATGAGCTACATTTACAAAGTATTTCTAGTATGTTGTAACCACCATGTTTAAATATAAAGTATGTATTGAATTAGACACCTTTTTAAACTTCAAAAGACCTAGTAGTTCGTTAGTATCACATTGGTTATTGTTAGCTGTTTCAGAACATTAACTGTCCTCTCACATTACTTAGAAAGATATTGGCTACCATCTGTTCTTGCAAGAGATTTAAGTATACATTATTAGATATCATGCTATTTATTTAATTCAGTACCCACTTCCCATTGTTGTATCTTTGGAAAAAAGTCAATTTAATTACAAGGCATAAAGATAATCTCTTCTACCAGGCTTCCCTGTCATCACGACAGCAGAGAAGTAACCTGTATTAAGTAGGTTACAGGCGTTAGGGAAGAGTAAAACTAACAGCACTTAACATTTAACAAAGATCTAACAAAACCAGAATATATGGCACTTAAAAAAAATTACTATAAGCCAAGGGCTTGTCTAAATCAATCTCAGCACATCTGTCTGATGTAGAGCGTAAACAGGATTAGAGTTGGATTTATCTGCTTGACGCTAATTGTACTCACAGTTTCTGCACATGTCCACTCTTTTTCTTTTTTTTTTTTTTTTTTTCCAAATAGATCATGAAAAAAGCCTGCCTGGATATACAAATTTCTAGGAAGTTTTTATGCCCCTATTTATCCTCTCACAGATTTCAAGCAATGAGACTATCCTACATTTTTCCTATTTATGGTAGCCTAATCTCCTATTTAATCAAAAACCATGTCTAAATATACCACACTAAGCTAAATCAAAGGGTGAGGGACCAGTACAATCAAATACAGTTTAACTGTAAATAGTTAATCAAATTTTAATTAGTTAAGAGTGTTAAGGTAGTCTTTAAACAAATAGATTCTCATGTTTACAGCAAAACTGACAAAAACACACACACCGGAAAAAGCAGACCTACTGAAAAAAATAGAACAGTTTGTAAAGAGATGCGTGCTATTGAAACACCAACACTTTAAAAACAAAACAGTGCATTGTAACAGAGCAAAAATAAAAATCAAAGAAAATACTGTGATCAACAGTTAGTATTGAACTGATTACAAATCATCCTACACTGTATGAACACTATTTGCAAAATCCTATTTTCAATATACTACAAAATATAACTGTATTGATATAAAACAGAAGGGGAAATAAATAGAACCAAAAAAAGTTTTGACAATATGTCTAAAAATTTAGACAGGAATACCTAAAATTAATATGACAATGTCTAATACATATAAACTAGTAACTATTAATTCATTAAGACAGTTTTGCCTTACTGTAGTTGACAAAGCACAATAAGTAGAATGCAACTGATTCATAAAACCTCTGCAGTTTTCAACTACATGTTTGAATAAGAAGGTCTGGCAATGATTAATATATAAAGGAGCTAGTATGATCATTCTTACCAGAAGAGCCAAGAATCACTGTATAGCTCACTGGGCTATTTAACATTAATTGAAAGACTCTAAACATGAGACAGAAAAGCTATTTTCAGAACATCTGAATTTTCAAGGGTTTTTCTATTTCAAAAAAACAGGTCATGCAACACCTTTAGCAAGATTTGAAGCTATGCCTCTTAGTCTCTCCTGCAAGCACAGAAACCCAAATTTCACTTTCTGCTTGCGAAGAGTATCAAACAGGAAGATGAGAAGAAGGTACAGCAAGGGCCAGGAAGGGGAGGGGCTGTTTTTTTCTTTGAATATTACCTTTATGCTACTCTACTCCTTTAAAATGGTGTAAGAGAAGCATAACACAACCAAGGTCCTAGTCCAGAAAAACATTCCTCAGATTGTGTTTAACAACTTCCTTAGGGAACAGCAAGATGTTTAGAAAGTACTACCAAGTACTGAATAGATGCATCTCAGTTCCTCCAAAGCTGGAGAGTAAAAGCAGGGTGAAACTACCAACTCCATTTTTTAATGGCAGCTATTCACTTGCAGCAACAGCTGTATTCCTTCAGGGCAGAAAACTGAGCTTAAAAACATCTGACAGGAATACAACTAATTTTCATTCTCCTTCTCTAGAGAATCCGAGAATGATGTATTTTGCTAAGCCAATGCAATACCTCATTGTTAATCCCCTTTCCAATACAGGCACCTACCCTCATTCACCTGCCACAACTGTGTAGTCCAGCCCTTCTCCTTATGTCTGGCACTTGACAAAACCATGCTCAGTTAATTCAAATCCCTAAAGTAACATAGATTGTTTACTTTATGTATTTTATGTTATTTTGCTAGCTTAGTCTCCTGAC